GTCCCCTCTGCAGCACCCTCAGCCAGCCCAAGATGCACTCCTGACCCTCCAATTCACTTTGTGTTTCTCCAGCTTGCTGGCGGGACTCAAACCTGGGCTCCAAAGCACACTTTCCTCCTCCTCCCCTTTGGCAGAGGTTTTTAGCAGGAGTCACAAGTCACTGACCATGGCTGAAAAGCCATGAGACAAGTTTAAAAAATGTTTGATTGGCAGTGTGAAAAGGATCTTGCATGGACTTGTTCCAGTTTGCTTTTTGCAGATTCACAGTGGTTTCCTACTTTCTCTTCACCTGTCGGTGCTGGAAATACGTATTTTATGCACAGAAAACTGAGATCTGCAGTATTCCCAGGACTCCAGGAGGTGGAACTCCAAGAACAACAGTAAATATCAGATTTCTTCTCCAGATGGCAACATTAAACTAGACAGAGGGAGGAAGTGTTTTAAAAATAGCATCTAGCTGCCAGAGTAGTTCTGAGGAGCAGAATTTAAATGCATCCTTAACAGCAAGATTTCCAGGAGTGCTGCAGCTGCTTACAGTCCAAGAAGTCTGCAGAGGAATAACATCACCAAGACCTCCTCTGGCAGATTCTGCATCAAGTTTTTTGATTGCAAGTAGAGAGGAGATCTGAGCGAGGCGATCTGCACAAAAACAGCCCATTGCTGTAGACATCAGTTGTGACCACAAGCACGTGCTGGCCGCCAGGAATACAAGGGATGCTTGGTGGACAAGATTTTTCACAAAGGACTATTGATTTAAGATCATCCTTCAGCAGATATGGATTTTGCAGAAAATGCTGTCTATCCAGAAAACGAGGTTTCTTTAAGGCAGAGTCCTTGGACTGGGGAACCAACACAGGGAAATAGCTTTCAACCTCAGTTGCTAATGCTGAATTTAAGTCAAACTCTCCTTATACCGAACAGACATTTGATGTTAGCAGTTAATGCTGAAAACTCCCTTCTCAATTTGAGCTCAGCAATTTCAAAGACAACAACATTATATATACCCTAGACAAAGTAATGCAAGGGTAGATTATGGCTTTTGTGAAGTGGAAGGATCAGTTTATTCCACACAGGAATAAACTGAAGCTGTGGTCTGAGTAGGATGTCCAAGTGTGAAAAGGTACAGAGGGATACAAGAAAGCAGTGTATTTTTCTTTTCTTTTTTTTTTTTTTTTTACTATTCTAAATCAAGTAGTATCTAATAGACCCTGTGCTGAGTTTAGTCAACCATGGCTTATGGAATTAAAAATCTGTTTGGTAGGTGTGTGGTATCACAGGGGGAGGGAGACCCTGTCTCTCGAGTATGAAAATGCTTGATGCTTGCTTTAAATTTCAGGTTAAATGCTATTCACAGTTTGGCATCAAAGTTAAAGCTTTATGCAGATTTGGGATAAAGGGGATGGCGAAAGGGAGTGAAATGATACAAGACAGTCATGACCTGAAAACTGTTCTTGGAGATGCCAGTACAGTCTGTGCACTGATTGTGCATCCAGAGAAGTACAATGGGATCCCCGTTGTGTTTGAAAATGGAGCAGTAATCCCACCTTTCACCAGCAGCACTTTTATTATGCAGACGTTTGGAAGTGAGCACCTTGGAGAAGAGGAGGCCGATGGAAGGAAATGCTGGACAGCAGGCTCAGGCAGAGAGGGGCGCAGGACCAGCGCTGGGAAGGGTGGGAATCCAGGAATAAAGGCAGCATCGTGGGCCTGTGCCATCACACCCATGCATCTGCCCCAGCGTCTGTCCCCTTCTCCAGGGGGCACTGGGGCAGGGGTGGCCCTCAGGCACTGCCCCCAAAGCGCGAGGAAGAGGAGGGTATTTCAAAGCAAAGAAAGGATGAAGTCGCGTGGAGATGGCAGAGGGGCTCTGGAGGAGTTTGCTCTCAAAGTCAGCCCTGGTGTGCTGCTGCAAGCACAACATCTGCTGCAGCCACAACAGGCTGCCAGCTCACAGCACCTGCACAGCCCTGCTTGCCCACGCCTGCACTCACTGTCCCGAGGACGAGAGATGGGATCAGAGCAGCCAGGCTGCCCTGGCATGAGAACAGGGCATGCAGCGCTGGTGCCAGGGAGGGGAGGGCAGGGGCTGGGCAGCACTGGGACTGCTGAGGGGGCTGACACTGCACCAAAGGAGCCCCCAAGCCTCCCTCACTGCGGCTGCCACCTGCTCTCTGCACCCCTGAGCTAAGGAAAAGCTTGTGCTTTCGCACTGGGGGAATTTGCACCAAATTCAGACTCATTTCCACCAAGTTCTGGACTCCACTGTACAACTAAAGGACCTCCTGTACATGGCATATGACACACAGGAGTTCGTGAAGGTCTTCAGGATGTGTTTGGCTGTTTGACATTATATAAATAATACCATTAACATTATACATTGTTTAACTAGAATATCTTGGATAATTAAAGTACTGTTGGAAGGCTTGAAACAATTTTAATTATAAGTAGGCTCCAGGGAGCGATAAAAACATTTTTCATATAGTCAGTGCATCCGCATAGTGTTGCATTCACATATTTTATTGACAATAGCAGTACGTGTATACCTACCCATTCTGCAAAACAGTTACTGATCGGCACTTTCCAGGTCTGCACAGCACCCTCCCTGGTTCCAAACTCACTGACAGGCTTTTTCTTGGCAGGGAAAACACAATCCTTTCCCACTCTGAAGTGCACAGACACCTCCTGTTCACACCTTGCCCAGAAAAACTGACCTGTGGTTTCACATGCTGCTATAGAAACTGGCCTGCCTTGGACATAACCTAGGTATTAAACACAAGCAAAGATTTTCTGTGGCTACCCAAAGTCTGAACAAGCCACCACAAGTCTGGGAAGAGTTAGTCACAGAAGACATCTGCCTCTGAGGAGAGACACCGTCCACAGTCCTGCTGACAAAAGTCTGCCCAGGTGATGTGAAAAATCACCCTGAAAATATGGAATCACTGCATGGTTTGGGTTGGAAAGGACCTTACATTCCATCAAGTTCCAGGCAGCTGCCACGGGCAGGGACACTTTCCACAACTGAGGTTGCCTAAAGTCCTGTCTGACCTGTCCTTGGACACTTCACCTAAATCATCTTTGTTAATTAAGAGCAAGTTATTTTCTGAGGACCTAAGCAAATAGCAAGATCAGTTTAAAGGATTTGATAAATTGAGATTCCATTTTTCTAATTCATTTCTGTGGTTAGATACTCGTCCATGACACGCCTTCCGAAACAGCAGGAGAATATTTGAAATTGCTAAATACAAGGAAATCAGAATTTTAGCAACCCTCACCGGACAATTCACTTGATTTAAAATACTATTTCTAAGACTACAGACCAAGATAAGAACAAAAGACACTATCTTCACAAAATACTAAAGCATATTTAAAAGCCTTAAAGCTTAGTATGGAAACAAGGCAAAATATAGAAAGACCAGCAAAAAGCTCTGAAATATAGAAATGGT